AGTGTGCCAGCACCTTCTCCTGCTGCAGTGAGTGTGCCAGCACCTTCTCCTGCTGCAGTGAGTGTGCCAGCACCTTCTCCTGCTGCAGTGAGTGTACCAGCACCCTGTCCCACTGCAGTGAGTGTGCCAGCACCCTGTCCCACTGCAGTGAGTGTGCCAGCACCTTCTCCTGCTGCAGTGAGTGTACCAGCACCCTGTCCCACTGCAGTGAGTGTGCCAACACCCTCCCCGCTGGTTCCTCTGGGCTCAGCTCCTCCCCATCTCCTCTCCCTGCTTGGAGTGGGAGTTCGAGGATCAAGTTTCCCTTTGTGAGCTGAGGGGAAGGTGCCTTTGATGGTGTTGTGTCAACAAACCCAGCAGCCCAAGGGAGGAAGGGGAGAGTGGGGAGAGCCCCTGGTGCCCTGCCCGGGGTGTGCTGTCAGATGTGGTCCCTGGGTGGTGGGAGGCTGGAGGAGGAACCTCCCTGTCAGTCCTGAGGCAGAGGGGCTTGGCCTTGACAAAGCTGCACGAAAGCCTTGCCCCCAGCAAGAGAAACCAGCCTTGTTTTCATCCTCCCTCTGGAAAGCCGTGGGGAGTTTTCAAAGCCGGTGTTCCAGCCTTGGTGCAGTTCCGTGGGTCGGCCCCGCTCCGGGTGAACTCCCGGGGGTGCTGCCTCCTCAGTGGGAGCTCTGTGGGGCTGGAGGCAGGAGGTGAAGGACTGGGCTCCCCAGGGAGGGAGGTGATGGTGCAGCTGGGGTCCCACTGGTGCCCAGCTCTCCAAGGCCACGAGCCAGCCTGGCACCGTCACTCGGGGCACAGACCACACATGGGGCCAGGGCTGCCCCGGGGCTCAGGGTTCTGCAGTAAAACAGCTGTGGGAGTGCTGGGAAACTCCTCCTGTGTGGATTTAAACCCTCTGTGGCTGAGGGTCAGTCCTTGGGTGTGTTTTGCCTCTTCTTTGCATCAGCTGTGTCCAGTTCAGCTCAGGAAGGACCTGGAGGGGCTGGAGCGTGTGCAGGGAAGGGAACGAAGCTGCCCAGGGAGGTTTGGAGTCCCCACCCCTGGAGGTGCCCAAGGAAGGCCTGGCCGTGGCACTGAGTGCTCTGGGCTGGGGACAAGGTGGGCATCAGGCACGGGGGGGGAT